CCCAGCCACGTTATGTGCGGGAGTTGCCACGAGTCGAGGTCCTTCTGTATGCGGTCGAGGAGGGGTGGGAAGTTGATGCGGTAGGTGTCCGACACATCAGCCGACAGCCAGATCCCTAAGTATTTAATCCTTTCTTTGCACCAGTGAAAAGGGAACTCTGTTTGCAGTGTAGTTGTTAGTGCTAGGGGGCAGTTTACGTTGAGAATTTCAGATTTCGTAAAGTTAATTTTCAAGTTGGAGAGGGTGCCATATAGGTCAAATTGGTGCGTGAGCTCCCTAAGTGAGGTTGCCGGGTTGGTGATTGTGAAGAGGAGGTCGTCCGCGTATGCAGAGACCTTGGTGGCTCCCCAGCTACCCTCGATTCCAGTTATGCGGGGTTGGGCTCGAACTGCATTGAGGAATGGTTCTAAGCTGATGGCAAAGAGTAGGGGCGATAGGGGACACCCTTGTCTAGTGCCGTTTCTGATCTCAAATGGGTCGGAGAGAATCCCATTAACCTGCACCCGGGCTGCTGGAGCGGTGTATAGGGCCCAAATGCGCGTCATCATGTGGGGTCCCAGTCCCAGGTGTTCCAGGGTGGACCTCAGGAAAGACCAGTCGACCCTGTCGAACGCCTTCTCCGCGTCGGTCGAGACTATCAGGGCGGGGGAGTGTCCTTCTCGGGCCGCGTGGAGAAGATTGAGTGTCTTGATAGTGTTGTCCCTGGCCTCCCGGCCCTCCACAAAGCCCACCTGATCAGGATGGATAAGGCTCGGCATCAGGGGCTGGAGGCGCAGGGATAGTATTTTGGCAAACAGTTTGAGGTCGGCGTTCAACAGGGAGATCGGCCTGTAACTGGTACATGAGGAGGGGTCTTTTCCTTCTTTCGGGAGTACTACGACGTGTGCTAGGAGAATGTTGGGGTCTAAGGGGTCTCCGTTATGTATTGAGTTGAATAGTGTAAGTAGGTGTGGGACAAGGTTGTCTGCGAACATTTTGTAGTACTTTGCCGTGTATCCATCTGGTCCGGGGCTTTTCCCCAGTTTGGCCAGTTTGATGGCTAGGCGTATCTCCGCTTCAGTGATATCTTCTTCTAGTGTAGCTATTTCTTGGGGTGTCAGCGTTGTGGTGATATTCTGTTCGATATATGTTTTTTGCCGCGCTGTGTGAGCCTCTTCTCCTTCGTGTGCGCGTGTGGTGTTGGGAGGTAGGCAGTATAGGGAGGAGTAGTATTGTCTGAAGCCCTCTGCTATAGCCTTCGGGGTCCGCAGTGTGTTTCCTGCCAGGGAGATCTTTTGAACATGGGTTTTCTGTCTCCGGGCTCTCAGCGCCCTAGCGAGCAGTTTACCACTTTTGTTTCCGTATTCATAAAACGTTTTTTGTGTGAGTTGGAACTGGAATCGTATTTTGGACGTGAGGCAGGAGTTGAGTTTCGCTCTGGTCTCTAGGAGTTGTTTGTAGGTTTCGTCTCGGAGGTCTTGTTTGTGAAGCGTTTCTAGACGCGCCAGTTGGGCAGCAAGGCGTGCTATTTCCTGTGTGCGTTGTTTTTTCAGGCGAGTGCCGTGTTTGATGAGGATCCCTCGGATAGTGCATTTGTGTGCTTCCCAGACGGTCGTTGGTGCGCTTTCTGTTGTTTGATTGGTGGGGAAGAAGTGGTCTAGTGTGTTCCTAATTTCTGTTTGGATCAGTGGGTCCTCTAAGAGTGATTCATTAAGTTTCCATGTCCATTGGGATCGAAAGGTTCTAGGATTGTCGATGGTGAGTGTTACTGGTGCGTGGTCCGACCAGGTCATGGGGGCGATGTGGGCTGAACACAGTGTGTCTAGATCCCTGTGTTGGATGAAGAAGTAGTCAATCCTCGAGTATGATTTATGTGGCGCTGAATAATAGGTGTAGTCTTTCTCTGTATGGTGTAGGATTCGCCAGCAGTCTACAAGTTGGTGAGTTGTCAAAAGGGTCCGCAGTCCTCTGAGGACGTGGTCCGGGATCGTGGAGCCCCCTTTAGATGTGTCCATTTTGGGGTCTAGAGGGGCGTTGAGGTCCCCTCCTATTATTACGGTTCCTGCACTGAACGCTTCCAATTTTCTCAGGGCTGAGGCTAGGAATGATTTTTGGCCTTTGTTTGGGAGGTAGAGGTTCGCGAGTGTGATTTAAGCGTCCCCTATGTGTCCTTTGAGAAAAAGGTATCTGCCTTCTCGGTCTTTCTCTTCTGCTTCCAGGCGGAACTGGGTGTCTGCCGAGAATAATATAGCCACTCCCTTGGATTTGGTGGAGGGGTTATGCGCGTAGTAGCCGGTTGGGAAGTATTTATCTGAGAATTTGGGGGCTTTTGTTGCTAGAAAGTGTGTTTCTTGGAAGAAAGCTATTGATATCTTAAGTGCTCGAATTTCTCGCAGCGTTCTTGCTCGTTTTTGTGGGGAGTTCAGGCCCTTCGCGTTGATTGTGTAGAGGTTAATTCCTATCTCTGCGTGCCCGGGGGCGTGGGGGGCGAGAGGCGGTGGGCCCATCGTATCCAGGTGGCGGGGTGTGGAGTAGGGGAGGAAAAGGGGGGGGGGAGATGGAAGGGGAGGTTAGATGGGTTTGAGGGGGTAGTTCAAGCGGTGTGGTGTGTAGCGGTTGTGTCGAGTCGCAGAGGCGACTGTTGTAAGGGGTAATGTGCCACTGGTAGGTGTGTGTCCGGGAACCAAGGTCCTCGTAGTCACCTCACAGTCTCTTGGCAGTGAACCCGTGGGGCAGGTGGCGTCGGTGGTTAGGTAGGTCACCTACTTTGGGGTGTCGTCTAGTGACGTATCACTGTCTGTCAGCATCCGTCTCCTGCTGCCTAATAGTGGTGGTGTCTGGCATCCAGAGGGGTAGTACCGTTCTAGCGGATCAGTTAACAACAATGTGGATGGTCGTGATGGTCGCCCCTGGGCGCTATCTTGTTATCGTTGCGCTATTGTGTCGGGAGCGTGCATACGGATATAAGAACAGTATTCGTGAGAACAACATAATAACAGCATATCAAAACATGGTTACACAAATTATATCCCAGTATCAGGGAGAACATCAGAAACTTTTATGAACATTTAAAGATGGTTTGGGTGTGTTCGCACAGCACAGGGGGCCCCTCATGGAATAGAATGAGGTTTGCACCCCGTGGTGCGCCGTCACCCCACACCTTTTATATAACAGGGTAGGAGGAGGAGGGCAAAAAGTAAGGGGGGGGAGGGGGGGAAGGGGTTCAGGAAAACAAAAAAAAAAACACACCCCCAACAATACACTCAATACACTTTGTTGGAACCAGTGAGCGCAGGTGTCTCCGTCGCCCGGTGGGAACCTCTCGGTTGTTCACAGGGGGCGAGGCAGAGTCGCTCTCAACAGTAATTCGGATGTACACAATTATGAGTCTGCTTGAGGAACACGGAGCATTCATCTTACGGTATGTAGTGGTTGGTGAGTGATGCGTTCCCCCCTTCTAGCGTGTTCGTGGTGTCTGAGGTGTGTTTCTGTTGGACGCCTCAGAGGTGCGTTTGATACCTGGTTGCCTGTGTTGCAGGTATGGTCTGTGTGTATGTCTGCGGTTTGATTAGATAGTGAGGGTGTCTGGGTGCATCTTGGGTGTATTTGGGGGGGTTCCCTTCCTGGTGTAGCGGATGTGTGTGTGTATGTGTGTGTGGGTGAGTGTTAGTGTCAAGGTGTGTAAGCTAGCCCGCAAGGTATACTTGCACTTGCGATTCGTTCTACGGTGGTGGAAGCCGTGGCCAGCAGTCCAGGGTGATGCCAGGGTGTCAGTTCAAGGCATCATGTCAGTGGTCGTCTCTATAGGGTGTTTGGAGCTTGGCGGGTGTGGGTCTATGTCCCGCATTGTGGGGCAAAGGAGTCTTGTGTGGAGCCGGCCAAGATATTGGTGCACTGGCGAGTCCTCTGGGGTTGTCTCTGTTGAGTTAGTAGCGTTCTTGGTGGTGTTGAGCAAGTCATGGACTCGGGGGGCAATAGATGTAGGCCCAGTTAGCCGGTGAAGCAAGGTGGTTCTAGGCCTTTGGGACGGTGAGATGTGGGTGGGTTACCGTTTTTGGTGGTGTCTTGGCGGCGGTGAGTCGCAATCTGCTTTCTCCCTTGCGGAGTGATAGAGAAAGAGAAAAAAAAAAAAAAGGAAAAAAGGGGGGGGGAGTAGGTGTCTCTGGAGGTGCCGTATCCCTCCTGCTCCCCTCAGCGTGGTCGTTAATGCGTTGCACGGTCGTGGTCAGGCTGGTGGTGCAGGGTGGGTGGCGGGGGGGGGGTGTAGGCAGGTGGTGGTGTCTCCATCTCGTTATTCCTCAGGGTCAATTAGTCGGTGATGGGTGCGCGGGGCGTCCCTGTCGGGCCCCTGGTGGATGGTACGTTGTGTTGGCCTCCCTGTGAGGCGTTCATTAAGCGGGCATGCAGTCCAGTCCGAAATAGGGGTGCGGGGGAGGTTTAGAGCCTCCTGGAAGGCCAGTACATCTTGCGGCGTGCGAATTACTGCTTCTGTGGTGCCCTGTCTGGCTGAGAGGGCGAAAGGAAATTGCCATCTGTAGCGGATTTGGGCGTCTTGCAGGGCGGCGGTGAGGGGCCGCAAGGCTCTTCGGGCCTGTAGGGTGAGGTGGGATAGGTCATTGTAAAGTTCTATCGCCTGTCCCTCTATTCTCCAGGTTCTTTCTGTGCGTGCTTTTCTCATAATTTCTTCCTTTAGTTGGAAGTCTGGTATGTGGCAAATTAAGTCCCTGGGGGGAGCGCCCGGGGGGGGCTTGGATCTTAGTGCCCTGTGTGCCCTGTCCATGTGGATGCGGGCGTCCCTGGGTCTGCCCAGTATGCGATTAAAAATCGGGGTCAGCGTGGCCCTGGCGTCTTCTGTTGTGTCAGATTCTCTGCAGCCTCTTACCCTGATGTTATGCCTGCGGCTGCGGTTATCAAGGTCCTCTATGTGGAGGCGCAGATCTTGTATGTGCCTGGAGTGGGCCTCTGTAGCTTGTATAGCAGGGCAGTGTGGGTTGGGGCCCTGTGTCTCTAGTGCCTGTACCCTTGTCTCAAGCGCTGTGAGTGAGGTGCCTAGGGCTGAGATCTCTGTGCGCAGGGTGGCTTTTACCTCATCCAGCAGTGTCTGGAAGTCCTCCTTTTTCGGCAGGGACGTGAACAGTGTGTACCAGTCTGGTGTCTGTGGGGCTTGCCGGCTGCTGTCAGTGCGCGGGTATTCCTCCGACAGCGTGGAGCTCGGGGAGGAGGGCGCCATGTTGGAGGCCTCCTCCTGGGAGAGGAAATCCCCTGGTGTGTGGAGGTAGCTGCGGATGGAGGGGTGCGAGCCGGTCCCCTGTGTTCTCGGCTTGGAGGGGGTCATCTGGGCTCTCTTGGTACGTCCCATGGGTGCCAGGTTGTGCTAGTGCGGTGTGTTTTTTGCGGCTGGGAGCGGAGCTCGGGAATTAGGCGGCCATTCCTGTTCGGCGCCAAGCCACGCCCCCCGTGAATTAGTACCTTAAATTGACTCCTATAGCATACAGGAAGCCAATGTAAGGACTGGCAGAGGGGTGAGGTGTGAGAGAAACGACTAGAGAGGAAAATCGGTCTGGCAGCAGCGTTCATTATGGACTGTAGCGGTGCAGTATGGCTTTTGGGATGACCAATCAGGAGAGGGTTACAATAATCCATGCAGGAAATTACTAGAGCATGGACAAGCTCCTTGGTAGCATCTTGCGTAAGAAAGGGTCGGATGGGGGCTATGTTTTTAAGATGGAATTACTGGATTTGGCAACATGCTGGATGTGAGGCTCAAAGGTGAGGCCAGAATCAAGTATGACGCCAAGACAGGGCGCTTGCAAGGATGGACTGATGTGGGTAACACAAACTTGAAGGGAGAGCGAAAGAGGAGGATCAGTATTAGGAGGAGGAAAGACAAGGAGCTCAGTTTTAGAGAGATTGAGTTTCAGAAAGCGGGAGGACATCCAGTCAGAGATGGAAGAAAGGCAAGCAGTGACATGTTGCAGGACGGCAGGGGAGAGGCCCAGGGAGGAGAGATATAACTGACACCCAGTTACATCAGCGTACAGGTGGTAATGGAATCCAAAAGAGGTAATAAGTTTGCCAAGAGAGGCAGTATAAGGAGAAAATAGAACGGGACCAAGGACAGAGCCTTGGGGGACTCCAACCGAGACAGGACGAGGGGAGGAGGTATCATTGGAAAAGGAGACACTGAATGAGCGTTGGGAGAGATAAGAGGAAAACCACGAGAGGACAGAGTCACAGAGACCAAGTGATTGAAGCGTTTGAAGAAGGAGAGCATGATCAACGGTGTCAAAGGCAGCAGAGAGGTCAAGAAGAATTAGTATGTAGTAGTGGCCTTTGGATTTAGCTGAGATTAGGTCGTTAGTAACTTTGATAAGCGCAGTCTCAGTAGAGTGGAGAGAGCGGAAGCCAGACTGAAGAGGGTCAAGGAGACACATGGGTAAAGACAAGTCTTTCCAGAAGCTTTGAGGAAAAAGGGAGCAGGGATATTGGACAATAGTTAGAGGGGGTGGACGGGTCGAGGGATTTTTTTTTAGTATAGGTACTATAGTGGCATATTTAAGGTCAGCAGGGACAATGCCAGAAGAGAGAGCAGTTGAAGATGTGCATTAAGGAAGGCACTAGACAAGTGGAGAGAGATCTAATAAGGTGAGATGGGACTGGATCGAGTGGGCAAGTGGTGGGGCGAGAGGAAAAGAGAAGAGCAGCCACCTCCTGGTCAGTAGCCGGGAAGAATGTCTGAAGGGTGCGTTTCACTGAAGCTTTTTCAAAAGTGGATGCTTGCCGATAGTGTCTCAGTCTTTTAAATTGTCTTTAATCCATATTAGCCGGTTCTGGTGTGTATCACAGCTGTTTGAGGTTTCCGCTAGTTGTGTTATTGTCATTTCCACTTCCTTTATGATATGATTCTGTTGTGTACGTCACCCGGAAGTGACGAACACAGAAGTCCTCCGTAAGCCATTTTAAGTCTTGTATAGTTGCACATGCAATATTGAACAAAGATTATTGTAAGTGGTGGAAATATATATGGCTACTATGCAGGTATCTTAAATTGACATACAAAATAGAAGTTCTGCATATCAAATAAAAAAAAATGGAAAATATAAAACGACCGCAATGTATTACATATTCTACACGACGGCCGCCATCTTTGGTGCTGGTAACTGCCTGGAATATAGTTTAAAATATAAATACATAGTGGTGTAACTATATTAAAGTGATATAATTAATTACTTTGTCGTAGTTCAGCTAATTAAGATCTAAAGGAACATATAATAAATAAATAGGTGTTAATATATAAAATAGAATAGAATATGTAATGCTTCTTACAGGCAATTTATCCATAGGAGAATAGGTAAATAAAAGCTATGTATAAAGTAGTGGGGAAAAATGAAAATGGAAGGAGCGATATAGAATGAATACGTATTAGAAAAAATAATACATTTAAAAAATGCATGGAAATTATAGAAAAAATTATAGAAAAAAATGATTGTAAAAAATATATATATATTTATATTTTAATAAAAATAAATATAAAAATAAATAAAAATACATTTGAAACTAAATGGTATTTTTCAAGTATCTGTATATGTGGCATTGTTTCTATCTGTGTATCTGCACATGTATCAGTATCAGTGTGTGTATTTGTGTGTATGTGAATCTGCATGTATGTCAATGTGCTTCTGTATATCGGCATGTGTGTCAGTGTGTCTATCTGCAGAGGTGGAGCTGGGCATCCCGAGGCAGAGGAGAAGCAGGTAGAGCCTGGGACAGAGGAGAAGCAGGGGAACTTCGGGCAGAGAAAAGGGGGAGATGTGGCAGAGAAAAACATATATTTGAAGGAACAGCAACTATATTAATAACTAACGTTTTGCTAATATGAGGGTTACAATTTATGGAAATGGGCAGACAAGGGGTACTCAACAGACCATTTCTAATACTGTACAATAAAGTATATTTCAATATTATTATCATGTTTTGACTTTAGAAAGTATTTTTTTTTAAACAGCACATGTATGTACATAGCGGGGAATGTGGTGCGACTAAAAGAAAGAGACTACCCACTTATCCCCGCAATAACGACAGACAATGCATATTGGATGAAACAGGCCACAGCATTTATTAAAACTTACAACTATAGGACACATCGGAACTTTATTCTTTTCCTTTAATTCAAATATAAATAAACACGTAAATATATATGCATACCATAATTAACATATAAATTAACACTTATTGCCCTACAGCCTTCAACTTAAATAACCGTCCTTGCCTATGCACCAAAAACTTTACCCACTGGTGTCTCGCCCCCCCCCTCCCCTCGTCCAAACGGCTCTTAGCTCGGTGGGCACGTCCAATTCGCTAACTTGAAAGTTTACCTTACAGAGCAGGGGAGGTTGAGACCCACCTTGTCCATCTCCTGACTGTCAGGGTACCTGTTGGTGATGTATCCAGGGAGGACATCCTCTCTGCTTAGGGGCTCCCTTCCCCTAGCATTTCGGCATATTTCGGCCGTTTTCGCGCCGGCCGCGCTAGCTCCTCCCCCTTTTATGACGCAACGGCTAGCGTCGACGTCATGACGTCGGCATTTGCATAAAGTGCCGGGAACCGCTATTCCGGACCTTTTGGGGGCGTGGTCTCTATTTAGGTAACAGGGTATTTAAAGGAAACCTTTACTACTGCTCATTGCCCTGTCGTGGTTCTAGCTTGCTAGTCACTCAGCGCGTTCTTTAGCTAGTGTTTCCGGTTTTGACCCTTGCTTGTCTTTTGTCCTGTTGTCCTCTCCTCTCCTTTGACTCGGCTTGTATCTCGCTTACCTGTCCTCCGGCTCCCTTGACCTCGGCTTACCTTTTGACTATTCTTGCTTTGTCCTTACGTTAGTCCGGCCATTCTAAGGTCCGGTATACGTACCTCCTTCTGTGCGCACTCTGCGTATTGGATCCCTGTCAGTTTCCTGACATTACGACAGGGCCATGATGGATCCTGCAGGTGCTAGTCCTCCTGACCCCAGATTTGAGGCCATGGACCATAGAATGGACCAAATGGCTTTAGCGTTACAAACTTTGTTGACACGCTCCAGTACCCAGTCTGAAGAAATACGTTCCACTGCTAGCCACTCGCTAAGTACTGGTTTGGAAGTAGCCACTGTAGGCGCATCTTCCCATGTCACGTCACCATTACGATATGGGGGTTCGCCTGATGCTTGTCGTGGTTTTTTAAACCAGATAAGTATACATTTCGAACTACAACCCCGGGCTTACCCCACTGACAGGGCTAAGGTAGGCTTTATTATAACCCTGCTAATAGATAAAGCACTTAGATGGGCCAATCCCCTTTGGGAGAATGACAATCCTTTAGTCTACAACTACACTGCGTTTGTCACGGCTTTTAGAAGAACCTTTGACCCCCCAGGGAGGAAGATTAATGCGGCCAGATCCCTGTTACGCCTTAAACAACAAGATAGGACCCTTGTAGAATATGCTCTAGAGTTTAGATCATTGGCAGCAGAAGTGAAATGGAACGAACAAGCTTTTATGGATGTTTTCTTGAATGGGTTGTCTGATGAAATTCTAGATGAAATTGCCACTAGAGAACTTCTGGAAAATTTAGAGGATTTAGTATCCTTCATTTCCAGAATAGATGAACGCATGAGACAGAGGCTGAACACTCGGGAAAGAGTTACTAGACTTCCTGTAAGACTCGCTCCCTCATTTCAGAACCCTGACTCCTATAATCCTACTCCACCAGAACCTATGCAGATAGGTAATACTCGCTTATCTGAGGCTGAGAGACAGTACAGAAGAAGGGAGGGTCTCTGTTTATACTGCGGGCTGAGAGGTCACCTACGTCTCAGTTGCCCTAATCGTCCGGGAAACGCTCGCACCTAAGTTCCCTTAGAGGACGGGCCTTGGGTGTTTCATTACTGTCCTCTATGCATAATAAAAAAGACCATAGGCTTCTGATTCCTGTCTCTCTAGCTTGGGAAAAGGGGTTTATTACTACGATGGCATTATTAGATTCTGGAGCAGCAGAAAGCTTTATAGACCAAACTTTCGCTAAGATGCATTGTATCCCATTCCAATTGAGAGATACACCCTTGGCCGTTGAGGCCATAGATGGTAGACCTTTATCTGAACCAGTAATATTCCATGAGACCGAACCCGTTAAGCTTACTGTTGGTATTTTCCACGAAGAGTTGATTTCCCTTCTGTTAATTTCCTCCCCGGCAGTCCCAGTGGTTCTAGGATATTCTTGGCTCAAGAGACACAACCCTCAGATTGACTGGGAGGG